TTCAGGGGCTCCAAGGTAAATTGTGGTGGGTGACTTGAGGGGCCTCGCTCAAGCGGCGTGGGAGAATAAGACGTGCATGCCGCCACTTGAGTTAGCGAGAAAGGCGCTGGCTAATGACGTATTGCACGACCGGCCCATGCGACCTGATTTCGGGGGAAGTTTCAAACCTTTTCTGGGCACTGGTGCGCGTCTTGCCATCGTCTATTTCCACAGAAAGATCAGTATGCGTCTTTTTTTTTAATGTGCAAGCAGTCCAGTGTCATATGATTACAGTTTACCCGGTCTTACATAAAAGCATTGCCAACCGTCACAGGAGAGGGGAGTGTCGAAGCCCGATTTGCCGGTAATCTTTTCGCGTTAGTAAACCGACACAGCCCCTTAGATTGATAACATCGATGGTAGGATCGCCTCACAGTATAACAGAGGACACTGGGTGCCATGCTGATGCACCTACCACGCTCAGGGGAGCGCGGCCTCTGCAGCGTAAAGCTTGGTTGCATTTGGCGACTGCCAGTTCCTCCGCCTCCGATACGACATCGTCTCCGTCCACAAATAATGATGTAATGCGTAAGCGACCTGGTCCCCTTACCAACATTCCGCTGCTGGACTCCGCAAGCCAAGCATCCTCGTCTGTATCCTCTCAGGCATCGCGCTTCCCTTTTATCTCGCCGATGGAGCCATTAGTTACCCTGGCTCGTTTCAGTCGATACATGAATAAAGTATACATCCCTCTAGATGATGAAGAGGAGTTGGAAGTGGTACGAATACTCTATACGGGAGAAGTAGGGGGGATGAATAGTTAATTCGTGGACCTCTGGGTTATAAGGATATGTGGTTGTGGATGGCTTAGGAGAAAGGATGACCAAGGGCGAGAGAGGACCGCTGGGTCGCGCCACCTTCGCCATTAATGGGCTCAATTCCTATTTTTCTAACTCAACCTCACAATGATAAGGGCGAGCATGGATTTCAATTACTCAACGGTAAAGGCAGTAACTTTGCCCTGCTAGGTACACCTGGAAGCAGCCTTCTTGGGGCGGGGGCTTATGGCCATGTGTACAAGGCAATCCACTTTCCAACCATGCGGCGCGTTGCCATCAAAAAGATCCCCAAAGATTTTGGGCGCACCAATGATTTCACTAACAGTTTTGCTAGAGAACTGCGGAATCTGTACAGCAACGTTAGAAAAATCACGGATGTCACAAAAAGTGCACGTACGGTACAAGAAAATGATGGAGGGCATTGCCCTTTTTTGCTGACATTATACGATGCATACGTGGAAAAGAACCCTACAAACTTATGTTTGGTAAGATTGCAGAGTTATTACGATGGGCGAGGCGTTAGTGGGGGTAGTGGTATGCAAAATGTTTGTCTTTAATTTGTCGCATGACCAGAAGAACGGTGCGGTAGGGGCAAGAGCGGCCCGTCTGCCATATGAGGATTGAATTTCCGTAAGGGCGACAACGAGCGAAAAATAATAATTCCTGTTATTCTGTCACACTTATAATGCTCCACAGGTATTGGAGTACATGGAAGGAGGCTCTCTGGAGCAGATGATGCTCCAGAACCCAAGAGGTTGCCGCGACGAGGGCTTCTTGCGCGAGGTCTGCCACAACGTCTTAAAGGTGTGTGATTGTCCACGAGGCAAGAGCGGAAGGCAGTGGTATAGCATTTTGTATGACGCTGTGGAAATGGAAACCTAGAAATTCTTGCCCTCGCAACATGTACGGGTTGATGTTTCCTGTGCTGACTCGCTTCCCTTCCTACACCGTGTCCCTCTAACGCTCACACAGGGCCTTAACTACCTGCATAACCGCCAGTACCTGCACCAGGACGTGAAGCCCGGCAATATTCTCCTCACTCTCACCAACTTCGCCAAGCTGGCAGATTTTGGTTTGACTGTGGACGTAAATGCTGGGGCGGATGTTTTGGGCGAGAGTTATTGCGCGGCGGTGGCAGTGGGATCGGCTCGGTACTGGGCGCCGGAGCTATGGGGTCCGGAAAGTAAGTTGAAGTGGTTGAGAGTGCGCTCAAAGGCTGGCGATCAGACATGCGGAGGGGGGAAATATCGTTGAGTTTCATCTGATCGACCTCACATCCGCAACCTGGCAGAGCGACGGGATCCTCGAGGTCGAGGCGACGTCTGGGGTCTTGGCTTGAGCATCCTGTCGCTCATTCACGGGACAGAGCCCCTTCAAAGCTGCAGAACGCGGTCGCAGGTGGAGATTGAAATGGGGGAGGCATGGAAGGAAGGTGAGTAAGGCACTGGCAGGATCGAGGTGTGCCAACCTTTACTTCCGAGACTACCTTGCCCTTTTTTTATGCGCCCCATGTTGCCGGGGATGCTTGCAGGGTATGTGGGCTTACCGACACCATCTCTCATTCGATCTTTTTTTGTCAGCTTTCATCAACCACCAGTCATGCCGCGTGGCCGCCGAAGCTCGCGGTATCTTCAGTTCAACTGCCCTCCAGGGGCTCTCTCCCCCTTTTCAAGACTTCCTTTCAAAGTGTCTACGAGATGTAGCTGACCGTCCTACGGTCGCGGACCTGCTGCAGCATCGCTTTATTAAAGAGTACAACAAAAGTTTGTCTCGGCGACAACGAGAGCTGGACGAGGCAGTGCAAGCCCTCAGAACGCACATCCAAATACACAAGGGTAAGCAACTAAACGGGGGGAGGATGGACATGCGAGTGATTTCCATCGGGAATCGATCGCTTTGTTCGCTCATCCGTTTGCCATGGTGAATACTTATCCGGATTCACATAGAGTGGAAAATCACGCCGAAGATGGTAGAACTACTGGCTGGCGAACTACGGATCCCGAGCAGCGATCTGCAGGAGTACTTAGAAGAGCACGTGGAACCAGGCCTAATGCGCACCCTGGGGACCTCGGCCGCATTATGTGTCGAAAAGCTGGTTGATGAAGGAGAAAGAAACGCTGTGACGGGTGCGGGAGGAAACGAAAAGGAAACGAGAGTCGAGACGGAAGGAGGAGGGCTGGTGGAGGAAGGAAGGGAGGAGGATGAAATTGAGGACGAGGAGGAGAGTGAAACGTCAGGATCCAAATCTGGATCTTCAAGCAGTTTGCAACGAAACTTTTTGAGCCATTACGACGAACTGGACAGGCTTCGCACCGTGGTGATTCCCGCTTTGGAAGGCTCCGTACTGGCCTTACAGAAGCAGTTGCTTGCGAAAGATGAGGACTTGGCAGAGATGAAGCAAGAGAATGAGTTACTGCGACAGCAATTGATGCAGACGACGGCAGAATTTGCCACACCGCGAGGGTGTATCTAGTACGGGCGTGAAACACGACACGAGGAGAACTTCTCGGCATTCGTCGGGAGCGGCCTTTGGGGACACGGATGAAAATGCGGAAACGAACAAAACTCGAATGCGAGGATATGACGCCGCCTGCCCTTGGCAGGGACGAGAATCGTCTTTTTTTTTTTATTAGGTTTGCATGCAAGCTCGTTGCCTCCCCACTTTATCCCCCCGCCCCCCCCGAGCCCTAGTCCAAACTCGAGTCGTCATGATGGTAGTACTCGCCCAGAAGTCGGTACAAGTAAAAGGTCTGGTGACCGCCAGTGTTGGTTATGTACAGGTCCACCAGTTCGGGAGGCACGTAGTCGTAGGCCGGATTCAAGAAATCTGCCTCCGGCAAGAGCTGGGTGTCGGCGTACTCGATCAGGGCGCTGGGGGACCTGAGGTCGTTGAAGGCGTCTTGGTCGTGCCGGTACACTGGGGAGAGTTTGAACAGCCCCGTCACGCACACCACGGGCACTGACAGCTCCTTGGCCGCCAACGCCGCCATGTGCCCCCCGCAGGGTGCGATCAGCCCCCCGTTCGCTATCAGTGCTCGGCATGGCAGGAGGACCTGATTCACCCGCGCCATGATTGCGTATACGGCACTGTCGCTTATGACGGTGGTCTCAATCCCCGCGGCCGCCAGGCTCTTGGCCATCTCCCGCCCTGCGATGTCCGGGGCCGACTCCGCAACTATCACCTCAAAGGCCCGCCGTCTCTCAGCAGCCTCCCGAAGGAAGGTTTCCACCGTCTTCGACCTGCCCACCGTCAGGATCACCTCATTCGCGTGGATATGCTCAAGGGCGAGTTCGCATATCTCATTGTACACATTGTCCAGTTCCAACTGAAGCTCTCCGATCGCCTCCATGACGCCCGTCCGGAGCCCTGGTACGCTTGCCTCCAGCTCGTTTCCTGCCTCGCCGTCGTCGGACAAGGACGCGGTGGCTCCCCCTTCGCGGGCACGAACCTCCCGCAGCTTGTTTTTATGCTCCTCTCGGATGATGAAAAGGATCCGACGCACTACATTTCCTACGACGAGCTGGAGGGGCTGCGCGTCGACCAGGGCCTTGCCCACGCGCTTGACCACGCTCATGAGCTCGGCCGCTGTCGTCCACCGACAGGTGCCCATTACTGCCCTGTAGTTGTATTGGAGAGACGAGCACACAATTAGGGTCGGTGACTTCGTCTTTAAAATTCAGTTCTCCTCCGATTTGGGACGTGTCGGATCCCGCCGAGCCCCTGGAACTTACTTCAGCAACTCGATGGTCATCTTGGCGCATGGTAGTGAGCCTGCCACTTTCCGCCGCTGCAGACTGGAAGAGGAGGAAAATGAACGCCAGAGTCGATCACTAGACCAATATACGGATATTGGGCGTTTCATCGATCATGTTTGTCTCCTTACGCCAGTCTCTCACCTTGTGATAAGGGATCGATATTGCCCGTGTACATGCGGCCACGTTGACAGCCAGGCATCCAGGTCCTTCCCTGATGGGGCTACAGAGGATTTCATGAAGCTTCCTCTGTATCATTTGTATGAAGATGAGAGGGAAGCAATCAATGATTTCGATGCTTGTGATGGCTTATTGGCCGGCCGTTTCCAACTCCCCTTCGCTCGATGGGGAGGCCGGCCAGGCGACGGGCGAGTTATTTTATGAAATGCGGAGGCTAATAGCACTTGTCACACGTGAACCCACACAATCACCAACAGGACAAAATTTATAAACAAGCTACCACGTCGAGCCATCGTTGTGTCTCATTTACAAACGGGAGAGTGCAGACGTGGTACAACGACACGGGCGGCGGCGCTGGGGCGGGGGAGGAGGTAAAGGGAACCTATCCATGGCAGGTGCCACCGACAAGATGAGGGCAAAGGTGTTCTTTCCTGTCTTACTTCTCCTACACGTGAATAACATCTCTTTAAGCCATGCGGCCTTTGTGCGGAGATTTTCAATTTTGAATGCCAGCCCCCGGGTCATGGCCGTAGCACCTCGACATGCCGCCTCTGTGCCGTCCTACCGCGTAATCCGCCGTGCTCCCATGCACAGGAATGAAAGTTTAGCGCGAGACGTAACGATAACCGTAAGCCTTGCGGATGGTAGAAATTTCACCTTTCAGGATGCCTGTCCACCCACCAACCACTCTCTGTTGCATGCCGAGATAGACCCTGAGATCCTTTCCATTCGAGACCCCGTGTTCGGTACTCGGTTTGACATGCGCACGGGCAACCTTCGCGGGATGTGGTGTCCTCAAAGGTGGTGGGCACGCAACCTTTTTGAGCCTGCGGGGCTCGTCTTGCTGTCGTCCTCCACAACCTTTAAAGCGGAGGACGAGAAGAGCAACAAATCAAAAGGAAACGAAAGCGCTTGACAACTACCTGACCGCAAGCCTTCTTACTTTTGTGGATCCGCTTCTCTTGCGTGCTTTGATTTTCTCATCTCTCAGTCACACAGGCGAGCATCGAACAAAGTCTGAGGTGACCGAGCCTGGACACCCGGAGACTAGGTGGGGACTCAAGCGACAATTTCCTTTTCTTTAACGTTACAAACACAGCTAGGTCGCCCCGCGTCCTCGCAGGGTGGCACCGGCCATGGTTTCCTCCTCCCTTCTCAGATTCAATCGACACATCTTTTCGCTACAGCCTCCCTCCACCCAGACAAGGGCGGGTAAACAAAATCGTACGTCCAATCCCTTCCCAATCCATCGCACCCCCGCAACACCGCCACCCCACCAACTCCCAAAAATTGCCAAGTCCAGCGACCAAAGCAGGGCATACATGCGCCCCCATCGTTCTTCAACGCGGATGTGCCCTGGGCTCTAGGTCTTATCTCGCGTACGATTTCGTGTATGCAGGTGTTCGATCTCATACGTCGCGCCCGCGGCTCCTGATTCAAGCCCTCCAGTAAAGTCCCTTTCCCTCTCTTTCAGACTCTAAATCCAGTCAAATCCAATCAATCCTATGTGGCAAATTCCCTTTCTCCCTCGCGGCGCCACGCCGTTGCGCTTTACACCACCAAGTCTTCTTTGACCAAGCCCTCGTTCCTTTCCAGCTCCAGGCCGGTGAATCGGTGCGAGTCCTCGCAGAGCCTGGCGACCACCTGCTTGATGTAGGGGAAGCTCAGACCCGCCTTTTCTACCAGCTTCGCCTTGAGTTTCCTTAGCTTCGTCTTGGGCTGCAGGAATCGATCGACGGTCTTGAGGCGCGTCTCCCAGCGGTTCGCCACCCCGCCCTGCAAGACCCGCGCCGTGGAGTCCGTGGTACTTGCGAACCGCTGCAAGGTCTCCTCCGCATAAGCCAGCAATACCTCGCAGAGGGCGTCCTCGGTGGTCACGTCGTGCGCCTCCATCAGGACTGTGGCCGGGAAGGCGGTCAGCAGGATCAACAAGCGCGCTACGGCCCATGCCCAGATCTCCTGGTGGAGCTGCTCCCCACAGTTGCTCCAGTTGATGAGTTCGTGGTCGGCCGGCGGTGTGTAGGTTTCCGGTCCCTCGTGGCCCGCGGCTGATTTTTTGGGGGCGGGGGGCTGGCGCAAGCAGAGCGTGAGGAAGGCCAGCGTGGTGTGGCTCCCGTTCACGAGGAGGAACTTCCGCTGCGTGAAGTACTCGGCTTGCTCCTGCTTGGACGGCAGCCGAACATGGTTGCCTTTGAAGGGAGGAGGCAGTCGCGGGGTTTCGCCACCCTGGTGCAGCCCGTGCTTCCCCAAGCTCTCTGCCATGACCACCATCTCCCCCTCGTAGGGCTCGCAGGCTACCTCCACGCGCAGCTCTCCGATCTCCCGCGCCGTGCAGATGCGATCCACCATCACCTTCCTCACTTCTACCCGACCCGCCAACGCCTCAGCCACCTCTTCCACCATCTTGTGGTCGTTCTCTGCCGCGTAGAGGACGGGAAGGACAAAATCCGCGGGGTCCTCAGCCTCTCCGTGCAGGGGGAGCGTGGACAGGAGGGGAACCACGTCTTTCATAAAGGGACCCAGGCTCATGCTGAAGGAGGTGGCCGTGCGCACCAAAGTCTGCAGTAGGATCGGGTCCTCGGAAAGGACAAAGAGGTTGGGCCGGCGCTCGTCCCAGTCGGGCAGCTCCGTCAAGTCTCGCACCACGATCATGTCCTTGACGGCCGTCTCCTCGTTCACCATCACGTCCATCCGCTTCGTGTCCATCAGAGGGGCCCAGGCCTCCGAGGGCCGCTGCAGAATGCCCAGTGGGGTTGCGCTTCGCGCCACCGCCGGGATGACAAGCCCCAAGCCCAACCGGCCGGCCCCGATGTGCAGGTGGAAGCCGCGACGGCTCTTTTCCTTCCAAGTCCGGTCCTCCCCCTCCACGGGGAAGGGGAAGCCGATTCCGGCTTCGTATTGACGTTCGTAGACGTACTCATAGTATTCGGCACTCTCCGGCCATGACCAGCTGGTCTCCTCTTCGCTGTCGCTCGCGTATCCCCCGTACTTGCCGTGCACGTCACTCTCCGGGTCCTCGGGCGAGGCGTGCCGCCGCGTCATAAAAGGCCCACTTTTCCCGCCTCTTCTGCTGCTGTACAGGGGACCTGGAAGGCGTGGTCTTCGGAATGCGATGTTGGGGCTCAGACGACCCTGTACAAAGGGAGCTGTCGTAGCAAAGCAGGGATATGAAGTGAGGCAGTGGCCTCCCCAGTTCGTCCATTTGTATGTTACGCAACAATTTTAATATCGAGCGCAATGTGCCTTGCGTGGGGTTATAGACGCCCATGGTGGCGCTTTGGACGCCCATGGTGGCGCTTTGGTAAGTTATGACAGACTGACCCACAACACTCTCCAGGAAAGTGACAAGCTCGGTCACACAAGCTCACAAGGAAATACATGCCCTCTTTTCCCTTTGCTAAATGAAGACTTACGTGACGGTAGTGAATTCGTCGAGGCAGGTCGACCACCATTTTTTGATAAGTGCGCATAGGTATTGGTGCAGCCATGACTGAAGGTACTTCTCGAAGTCAGGCTGCTGCTACTGTAGAAGGAGAAGGCGCTGCAGAACCCCACGAGCAGCAGGGCGCTAAGTTGGCGCAGCTTTGGCCTCAACACATGAACATGCATTGCTTTGTTCAAGATGTCAAATAATGTCTGCCGCTAAGCGGGCCTCAAAAATCTGCCTGTGCACGCGCAGCTGAAGGCTTTGCTAGCTGGTTGAGGCCGCTTGCTTGACTTGGGCAAGAAAAGGGGAAAGACTGAGTTGGCCTCGAAAAGATGTTCCGAAAGCTATTTCCTGAGCCAAGATCAACGCAGCCGGGTGTCGGTTGGTAATATGACAACAGTCGCAAGGCCCCAACCGCGCTCTTCGCAATCGTGCTGTAAAACCCAACCCCCCACCTAAAGTAAGCGAGATCAGGCAAGTCGCATGTCTTCAACATGGCAGCAATGTAATCTCTTTGCTTTTGTGCGCTTTGCGCGTCCTGTGGCATGACCGCCGCCTTCCTTCGGCGTGGGGTGATTGCCCTCCATCACGGCTTCGTCGAGGGGAGATGGAAAGAAGGCGTTTGCACGTGGAGACGAGAACAGACGCAAGAACAAATTGCAACGATATATGCCTGAAGGTGAGTTACTTATTCATTGTGCGGTGGTTTAGTTACAAAGTCGGTCATGTTTCAACAAGACCACCATCATCTGGGAGGGCCTGGGGCAGGCCCGACGCGCGCCTCTGGCGGATTTGACTCAATCGGGGGAAGGGAAGAGCCGAAGCGTATTTCGCGCGCCCGCTGCGACTGCAAATATGCTTCCTGTGCATCTCTATGTGCATAAACGCTGTTGTAGTAGTTATTCAGACCCTCTCCTGTTTCCGAAGGCCACCGGCCCCGTTGCTCATGCGCTTTCTGCTGCAGGCGGACCTCCAGGGAGGGGGGCCGTTCCTGTTGCAGCTGTGCTTGCTGCTGCAGGGTTTGTGATCGGTGCTGCCAAGAAGACTGAGACATTGCTCCGCTTACTTCCCGTTGGTAGGGTGCTCGGGGTTCAGCGCCCTGGAAGTATCTTCTTTCTTGGCGCTGTTCCTCCACCCCTCGAGTATACGGGTACCTCTCCTGTGAAGACGCGGTCGCTTCAGGACGAAGGGGCGGAGCAATCATGGCATGGCCTTTGCTGCTGGCCATGCTGCCTTCCCTTTGCGCCTCCAAATGCAGAAGTCGCCGTTGCCAAAATTCAGTTTCCTCCTCCACGCGCCTGGCCACGGTCACGTTCACCAGGAACGCCAGGGCCCCCCGCAGGATCCTCTGGAGGTCATCCATGCTGTGAGGCACCCGCTCTCGCTCCAGACTTCTGTCAAAGTACGAGATTAGCTCGGGAAATGCCGGCACGTCCATCTCAAACTGCTGCTTTAGCCGCGCGACGCTTAAGGCTGGGCTCTGACTGGGAGGGGGAAAGGACAACAAGGAGGACCTGTGGGTCCGGGCATCCGCCTGCATGAGCCAGTCGAAGAGAAGTTGGTGGGAGTGCGTGGACAGCATAAGCTGCTGCGCTTCCGGGGGCTGCTGCTCGTGCAGGCCCAGTCCGTCCACGGTTGACCAGAGGAAGTCGCGCACGCGGGCGCGGGCGCGCGGGTCAGCTATCAGGAGCTCGATCAGGGACTGTTCGTAGATGAAAATGGCCTTGCTATCTTCCTCGTTGAACGAGGATGGAGGCGGGGAGGACGGGAGGGGGGTGGCTTGGGGTGCAGCCTTTTGAGGCGGAGGCCTCGGGCGGCTCGCGGAGACTCCTTGCGCGGTCGATATCAAACTGCTCGCGTGGAGGGACTCAGACCGCGCGTCGCCCAGCCCAGGCGCGCCAAAGGAGGAAGGGGGCGATGAGAAAGCCGAGCCTTGGAGGGTGGACGAGGTATATGACGGCCTTGAAACCCTGTGCTCATCCCAGCTGCGGGTCTCCTCCCGCCCTTGCCTCTCAGGGGCAGGTGTCCTGCCGGTTTGCTTGAGTGGGGTATACTGAGCCCATGACTGCTGCGACTGCTGGCTTTGAGGCCGTGCTACTGGTGCAGAAGACGGCTGAGGAGCTGGTAGGTTCGTCACCCGCTGCGGGGGCCGGTGTGGGTATTGGGGCTGTTGCCGCCCGGGTGGTTGCGTCTGTTGGAGCCGCGGAGCCGGTTCCTCCTTTGACTGCTGCAGTCTCTGTGGCTGCTGTAGCTTCTGTTGCTGCTGCTTAAGCTGCTGCTCATGCTGCTGTTGCCGAGCCCGCTCTGTCTCCCGCGCCTTGTAGGCGCTGTGTTTCTCGTCGCACTGCTGCAGCAAGTCGGAGGTCACCCGCGCTCTCAAGGGCTCGTCCGAAGGAAAGGCTTCACGGGCAAGCAATGAACACAGGAACGTCCGGTCTGCTTGTTGCGTGGCGGGAAGACGCGCCAAGAAGTCCGTCAACGCCTCGCTTCGTCTCGAGAAGGCCGCTGTGTCCCCTCGGCTCGCATGCGGGCCCCCGGCGCTAGCCCCCGCTTTACCGACCCCAACCTCCCCTCCTTCTTCCATCAAGAGCCGCGCATACCACTCTTTCCAGAGCATCGCCTTGTTCACCACCTCCCGTTCGAACATGGCGCCTGCCTGGGCCTGCCCCCACCCGGCTGCATACGCCCGCAGCAAGTCGTCCGGGTCCCCCGAGCCCTCCGGGAGCTGGGCCACTTTGACATGGAGGCCGCCGAGACGACCCTCCGCCTCCAGGGGCAGGAGGAGCTCCCGACACGTCCGAGCCGCCGCGCGTTGGCCCGCCTTATCCCTGTCCAGCACCAAAACCAAGGTGCCCCCCCCCGAGGGCAAAGCATTCTGCAAAGTCTTCACATGGTCCCCCGTCACGGCGGTGCCCATGCACGCCACTGCATGCCGCAGCCCCGCTCCGTGCAAAGCCATCACGTCAAAGTACCCTTCCACTACCAGCGCCGTCCCTTTCTCGCGAATCGCGGCCCGGGCCACATGGGCCCCGAAGAGAAGGTTCCTCTTTTTGAAGACGGGCGTCTCGGGGGTGTTCAAGTACTTGGCCAGCGGCCCCTCGTCCAGCAACCGCCCTCCGAACGCCACCATTTGTCCGCGCGCGTTCCGGATAGGAATTATCAAACGCCCGCTCAGACGGTCGAAAGGCGACGGGTTGTCCAAGCTTCGGGGACTGAAAAGGCCAGACTTGACCAGCTCCTCGCGGCTGAGCTTCAACGGACCCAGATGTCGGAGCAGGCCGCCGGGACGCACGGGGGCATAACCCAACCCGAAGTCCGAGGCAAGGCCCGCGCTAAAGCCCCGCTCCTGCAAGTGCGTGCGCGCTGGCCCTGCGGATGCCTCCAAGAGCATGGATGCGTAGTATTCGCCCGCTGCCTCCAGGGCTTGGTGCAGGCGGGCATGGCTTTCCTTGGTCGCTCCTGAAGCCCCTTTGCCACCGCCCTGGCCGTATCCTTCTTTAACTAAATCGATGCCGGCTTCATCTGCCAGGAGTTCCATAGCCTCGGGGAATGAAAGGCCTCCTATATTGGACACAAAGCTGAAAATATCACCGCCAGCACCGCAGGAAAAGCAGTGGTACAAGCCCTTGTCATCGCTCACGCTCATGCTGGGACTTTTGTCGTCGTGGAAAGGACAACACCCCATCCATTGCCCGTCCCCTTTCTCATCCAAGTCCACGTGCTGCTTGATCACGTCCGACAGGGGGACTGACGCCCGAATCCGTTCCTTCATCTCACTTCCCTCCGCTGCACCCTGCACGCTTGCGGAAGAGGAAGGTCGAAGCGCGAGGGCAGCGGTCGAAGGGAGATAATGGCGTTTACTAGAACAGCATCTTCTGAATTGGTCTCCCCGGGCCGCACGATTGAGCACTCTTGGACGCCAAATCCGAAATGCTTCAACAGCAGCCACCAGGAGAAGCAGTCTAGCCAGCAAAGTCCCTCCACGAGCAGGTGACCACATGGCACTTTGCGCTCTAAATGTACCCTGTGGTATCCGAATGTTCTTAAGACTCGCTTTCCTGTCTGGAGACAGTGCCCTGGCAGCCCTGTACAAGCTATAATGGCTGGCTCGATGGCAAGACCGGTAGCAGCAAGAGGACAGCAGCTACTGAGCTGGGCAAATAGTTGAAGGAGCTCCGAAAAGAACCACCTCGTCACAGCACATTGCCAGGGCAGACCAAAGTACCCTGCACACGTAGGATAAAGATGTATGACGAGCGTGAGTGAAGAGGGCCTGACAGTCGTGGTCGTCGAGAGTGAGACAGTGGAAGCGGAAGGGCCTCTCTCCTTGTTCTCGTCTCGCTGAAGACGTGCCACCCCAGGCCAGAATTCCCGCTATCCACCCGCGGCACCTGGAGCCGGTCTCAGGTCCTAACTAGAATGGTTGATCGGGAATTGGAAACAATCCAAGCTGTGCTACGCGCTAGGGGTGTCGAGCAAGCTAGGTATTCAATCAATAGGATGAAATTTGTGGCCTCCGAAACCGCGCGGGGGCTGGGACTCATTGCCATGTTGTTCCTTTCCCCCTCTCAGGACGTGATATTTTTACAGGCAACGGGCACACACTCACAAGTGGGCGCACGCCGTCGATAGCACCAATATAACACGCGGCAGGGGGATGTGGAGGCCCTACGCCGCGGCAGCGGCACGCCGTTGCGTCAAGCGTCCGACATGGTCTGCAGTCTGTCATGGCAGCCCCGGGGGCAGAACCCAGAATTTGAGCACTAGCCATCCCCCCACATCAACATTGTCCTCCGCGGTGGTCCCACCTAAAGCGTTCCGGGTCCTTTCGCCGCGTGAAATTTACGAGGGTTTGGAAAAATACGTGATCGGGCAGGAGGACGTAAAGACCGGCCTGGCGGTAGGTGTCCATGCCCATTATTTGCGTCTTTATAGCAAAGAGCAAGCAAGGCAGGCAGCCGAGGCCGCGGAGGCGGCCAACGGGCAACGGAAAAGAAAACATGCGGCGCCTGCATTGGCGGCTCGAGAGGGCGACACCATGACAGTGTACCACAACGGGAAGACTAGCAGCCTGATCCTTTCCGAGCCGGGAGACATGGACACGGCTTCGGGCTCCGTCCATCGATTTTTGCGCGAAGAGATCCTCAACGCCGCCAGCGGAAACCCGTCCTCGCTGAGCTCTACCTCGAATACGTCTTCTGGGAACGGCAACGACCCCTCCTCCTCCCCCTCGTTTCCCAATGCCCGCAAAGGGATGACCATCCGCCTGCACCATGACCCGCGGCGGCGCACTCGCCCCCGGCCCAGCGTGGAGCCGGTAGAGCTGGAGAAGTCTAATATCCTCATGCTCGGGCCCACGGGGAGCGGAAAGACGCTGCTGGCTAAGACGCTGGCCAAGCTCCTGGACGTGCCCCTGGTCCTGACGGACGCCACCTGCCTGACTCAGGCCGGCTACGTGGGCGAGGACGTGGAGTCCCTGCTCTTCAAGCTCTACCAAGCGGCCGGGCAGGATTTGGAGGCGACGGAGCGGGGTATCATCTACATCGACGAGATCGACAAGCTGTCGAAGCGGGAGAGTGGGAGCGTCCGCGATGTGTCGGGGGAGGGCGTGCAACAGGCCTTGCTGAAGATGCTGGAGGGGAACGTGGTGAATGTGCCCAAGGCCGGGGGCCGGAAGAACCCGCGCGGGGAGCACGTGCAGATCGACACCACGGACATCCTCTTCATCTGCGGCGGGGCCTTCGCGGGCTTGGAAGGGGTGATCGCCAGAAGGGTGAGCCAGGCCTCGATCGGGTTCGGGGCCAGCCGTGGGGGGGAAGGGGGGGGGGCAGGGGACCGATCAAGGCGCCTTGTTCGAGAAAGTGGAGCCCGACGATCTGGTCCAGTTTGGCGTCATCCCGGAGCTGGTGGGGAGGTTGCCGCAGATCGTGAGTGGGAGGGAGAGGTCGTGGGTGGGGGGCAGGGGGAAGGGGGGGGTAGTAAGAAAGCTTGCCCTGGCGCGTCGGTATCAGGGATGCTCACAGTTCTCTTCCCTCCCGTACCCTCACCAACTTCTCAGCTGCACACGCAAAGCCTGACGTTCGAGCAGATGATCCGCATCCTGACCGAGCCCAAGCAGGCGCTGGTGAAGCAGTACGCCTTCCTCTTCGCCATGGAGGACGTGGCTTTCCACGTCACGACCCGGGCGCTCGGCTGCGTGGCTCGGATGGCGCTGGAGAAAAAGACGGGGGCGAGGGGCCTCCGAAGCATCCTCGAGCAGGCGCTGAAAGAGAGCATGTACCTGGTTCCCGACGACCAGGACGTGAACGCGGTGGTCCTGGACGCGCGGCCCGTGGGGGAGGGCGAGACGGAGGCGTTGGAGTAAGTCGGAGGGGAAGGGCGGGCGGAGATAGCGGGGAGGAGCAGAAGTGTCACAGGCTTGGGAGGTCGTGGAGGCCGGGAAGGGGCATGCAAAGCGCCAGATGTATTGCTGAGAGGGCGCGCACACACGCGACAGGGTCCTTCTCGTCCGAGGAGAGGAGACGCTGGAGAGCTTCCTGCAGGCCAGGGAGGCGGAAGGCCTGGGGAGGGGGGGGAGGGGGGGGCGGGAAGGGGGGAGGGGGAAGCGAGGACGGGCCGGGACGGAGGAGGACGTCTCGGAGGTGGCGGCTGCCTAGTGGGGAAAGAGGAGGGAGGGGGGCCAAGGGGAAAGGGGCGAGGGGGGGGGGGCTGGTCGAAGGGGAAAGAAAGATACATCCAGGCTCTGAGAGGATTGAGGGAGATGGAGGCGACCGACGCGTGGTGGAGACGGTAACAAAGGCTGGTGTGCGTAATAAGGACGAAAAGGGAAAGTGCGCAAGACGGGCGAAGCCACAAGCCGTGGCGCGAGGAGGAAAGGGAGTGGGCGCGATGAGGGAGATGGATGCAAGCTGTACATAGGGTGCTCGCTGTCCTCGCACGGGGGCAAAAAGGAGTAAGGCACCTGGTCAAGTGGAGGTTCAGAGTATCTCGTAGGGCTCTCATGTTTGAGGGTACCAACTTTGCTTTCTTTGTGCCGCTTTCCCCCTTCTGGCCCCTCTCGACACATTCCACGCGCCCCCTGGCCCCCGCCTCCCACACTTTCGACGCACTATCACACCCCTCTTTCCTGTACATAGGGCGCCCCGCCAACATCTTTTCCTCTTCGTCAAACCCACCTCGTTGCCCGAGCAGGCTCCCTGAGGCTTCCCCTGACGCTTTCCCGGGTCTCCTCTGTCGCCTTCTCCCACCAGGAATGCCTCCATCCCTCCTTTCCCCCCATCCCCCATCCTCCCCCCCC